CACGCGACATTATGGACGCCGGCTAGATCAGGTATCATCACAGTTGTACTAATTACAACTAAGTGCAAAATACTGATTGGCAGGGGACATACGTTTAGCTTGATTAATGCATCATGAAGTACTGACTTTTGGTTTGAGCAACCCAAGAGCAGGTTGCGTGGACCACATTTGGGAGCAAACGATTGCTCGTTATGTCGTTTTTACACTGGTCTTGCACTCCTGCATAAATATGATAGTGTTGCCCAGGACAAATGCATAATTAAAAAGCGGAAAACATGCATTCGAATAAATGTACGGCAAGCGTCGGCAAAATTTTGAATTGTTAAAATTCTTAGAGGCTGAGAGGATGATTTACATATCTTAGTGTCCATTTAGTTATTAATTTCGCCTGCAGAACAAAAGGCTACTGTATTGGGGACAGGGATAATCAGGTGGGGTTGCTTAAAGGAAATGCGAGACATGTCGGTAGGAAATTTCACGACCAAAATGACATGTAATGCTTCAAGAAAAGTGTGAATGAAGACTGTAGAAACCCCCAAAAATATTCTTTTTTAAGCACTGAAAAAGTAATTTTCTTCGGGGATATGTGCATTCGTCTTTTGAAGAAAAGGCTAATTTCTAAAGGACACGCAGCACGGAGCAGATTTTCCACACGTGTGTTACATAGTTAGCAATAATTATGACCCACTCATTCGTACTGAAGATATGATGACTACGTTAAAGTAGTACTGCAAAGGCACCAAAACAGTTTTGGGGATTTCGGATCATTGACCAAATGAAGGCACATTTCATTAACGAGAATACTCAGCGCTGACAAATGTCACCCACACTGTTCTTGCGATTTAAGCATAAACTTAGGATTTTGCCATAGAATTTTAAGTCGCAAAACTCAAAACTCACACGAGTTCCGTCGAGGCAGGCTTCTTGGAGGGTAAAATCATCCCCTGCCTTCACCTCTTCTCCTACTTTCGGATCAAACAAGCGAATGTCGCAATGTTCGTAGTGTCTCGCCTTGCGGATAACGCTTTTCAAATGTCCTGCATGTAACAATTTTGTTCAGAAGAGTCAAACCTATTGTTTCTGCATTACAGAATGTTTCCTCGAGTTTATGGTCCTTGTTATTCTTCTCCACAAGACAAATGTTTGAAGGATAGAGATCGAGAGAAAGTTTTCCTGTGGACGCCTTGAGATATTTCCGTTTAAAAATCTCCGTATCTTTGTGACAACAGCCATAAGTGCAGGAGAATAGATCCCAGAGGGACTCGGGAATGAAGACAACGTCTGCGTTTACCAAAAGGTTTGGCCGCAATTGTTTCCCTTCTAGAGAGAGGAATCTGTAAAAGTAAAAACACTTACCCATAAGAGAGGTGTTGTCAATCTCCCCAGGAGGAGAATCACATTCGTCGGGCTCGGGGGCTGCATCATTGCTGTCCGCATAACCGGTAAACTTCTTCCACTTGTCAAACCACGCGATGTTCAGGATGTACCTATCAATAGAAGACGTTTATTGCAC